ACGTACCACCCATAGGGGTGAGAGGGGAATTTTTATATATATATATATATATATATATGAATGAATGAAAAGATACAATTGACTAGAAGAGCAGAGTATTCAAAATAAGATCAAAACAAAACAAGCGAAAGGAGAAAAGGGCTGCGAAATCACAAAGCCTGAGAAAATAACCAGGTCTTCAAAATATATATATCTGAACTAGCTGTGACTGGCAGCTTTATTCTTCATGTTCTTAGGAGTAGAAGAAAGGAACAAAAGAAATCTAAATCCCAGCTCCTCCATCTAGACAGGAGGATTGGAAAAGACAATATGTGAATCTTGGTAAAGTACTACTTGAAAGAATAAGTAATATTGAGCTACATGTACCTAAAGTTAGAGTCTGAATGAAGCATTGTCATTCATAGTAATGTATATAACTCTAAGGATCACCATAGGGTTACGTTGTTCTTAAGGCACCTATGAAGCCATATTAGAGGTCATATAAGAACATTGAGGCTGGGGACAGAGAGGAAGCCATACAGAGCCCCACACCTTATAATAATGTAGTATTACAGTAGCTTTAATAGACAGCTCAACATTTGGCAACCAACTTTTTCCCAACTTGTTCTGATAATCACCCTTTCTTCATTAATGATTTACACTGTTGCTGGCAACCCCAGTTTGACCCCATTCCCATGACATTGCCCATTTCTCATCCCCAGGCTGTGATGTAGGCAGTCTTATCTCACTTTTTTCAGTACCATAGAGCACCAAACAGCCACAGCATACATATCAAAGGCAGACGCTGGCAGCTCTTTCTGTCATGACAGGATTGATAGTGAGGAAAGGAAAGAGTGACAGAGAGACAGAGAAAGTGCTTCTGGGAGATGTTTCAATATAAAATATTCACAACTACAAAAAATGCATTACAGTCGACCCAATAAAGTATCCCTGTAAAGTTAAATGGTGATTTTTATCATCAGAGAGCAGAGGAACATATACAAGTTGACAATCTTGTCAGGTCTGAGGCAATTTTTGTCTGTATTTTTGGGGGAGAGTGTCTAGAACAACATGTGATATCTAAAAGGTTTTCCCATTTTTGATCATAAGTATTACATTTTATTAGGAATAGGACTGAAGCTTGTGGGATTCTAAAGCACATGTGCCACAGATTTAAGCAGCTGTCTGTACGTGATTAGGACAACCAAAGAGCTGTGCTGCCCCACTCCAGGTTGAAAGGTCGGGTCCAAACTTAGAACTTGGCATAGAGAAAACCATTGTTTGTTTGATTGACTGTTTTTACTTCTCAACATACTGATAAAAATTGTGCCTTATAAATAGAACTGTTAATTCAATCAGAGACAATTATCAATAATTGTATATCCATAAAGATCTGGAACATATTTTAATTTTCATGTAGCTCCTAAAACCATAAGTAGCTTATCAACCCAACCAACCAGATTGCTAAATGCTGTGCATTTATTATCCTGGAGAAGGGCTTCTGACTCTTGTACTAATGACATTTTCACATGGCATCCCTTTCCCATAGAGCTGTTTGGGATAATGCTATACCAAATTATAGTAATGAGCCAGATGTCAATGCATACAGTGGCTGGAGGGTGTAGACTATTTAAAATGCTACCACTGTGCGGTGATAGATTATTCTAGTTTGTTTCAGGATTATATGCTACTCACATAGCAAGTTGGCAAGTTCACAGCTGTGCCATAAGGAAATAATTCTAAGTACTGCACATAGCTGCCATGTGGAGTTATTACTATAGATGCTATGCTTGCCATTCACCATCAGGACTTGTAAGTCCATTTCTCCTCATTCCCAGCATTCAATAGCTCCTCAGGCAATGTCTTCCTCTGGATCAAGCCTATCTGACCACTCATTTCCTTCAGCTTTTTTGATCAGGCAAAGAGTAGCAATAAGTCCCCAGGCATGTAATTCTCACCCCAGCACCTCCTCCCCAGGCACACATACAACCTGTTCCATGATGATGCTACTCAAGACATCATAATAAACTACAAACAATGAACCATCCAAGTTGAACTTCTTGTGTGTCCTGTTGAATTCTGAAAAAAATGCAACTCCTGCCTTAGATATCGGAACATAGTTCAAATGCCATATATTGCACATGGAGTCAGTCTTGATGTGGACCAAATTTGAACCTGATAGATTTAGCAATCTTCTTTCTATTGTGCAGATATGAACAGCTGACTTTTTTTTTTAATTCTGTGTTAGCAGGTGAACTGCTTTTATCTCCGTCAGATCACTACTGGGAATATCATCCCCATCACCTGCACGCTGAATTTGAGAGCTTTGGAGACAATCATTTTGCAGAGCTCCAAAGTGTACAGCCACCACAGCTCCAGCAACTCTACCGGCACATGGAGATAGAACAGATGCACGTTCTTGATTCAGGGATCCCTGTCACACATCTGGGACTCAACCACAACCATCAGGTACAAACCAGAGCCCAGATGACCCAAATGTAGATATTTTTCTAGACACCAAAGATAATATAATCGCAAAACATAAAAGGGAGTAAGTTCTGGACAACGATATTAGAAAATCAGATAACTGGATATGCAAGGGATATTCCTATTTAATAACTTTTAGTTTAATAAAACTAACATGGATTAATACCAACACAGAGGCCATTTTAAGTAAATGATAGGCTAAGCATTATACATAGGACACTGTCACTTTTGCTTGACATTTAAAAAAGCAGATACACCCTTTCCAGGCTGTTAGTAGAAGGGCTAAATTATCCATGCAGTTAAATGCATCGTTTGAAGTTGTATTATTATCAGTTTTGTTTTGTTTTATTTTATTTTTTTACCAGAAACAGCAGGTGGAATCAGCAGAGTGAGACCCAAGGAGCAGTTTATTTTTAATGTGCTCTTCCCTGCCAGGGTGGCAGTAAAATTACTCTCCTGAAGCTGCTATCAGCCCATTCTCAGTGACCCTCGAGAGGGCGAACAGAGCTGCTTATTCTTTTTCTTCTGCCCTCCTTTGCAAAATAAAGGAGTTAGAGCAGCAAAGTAGAGTTTGGGCAGCCAATACATTTAAATAAATCATCATCATCAATCATCATCATACATCCACTCAATATTTTTTTTATATATGTAAGAGAGAACAGAAAGCACCCATATCTTTTCTCCATCCCTGCCTTTATAGGGAAGCACCACTGTTGGTCTAAATGTTGGCTCTTAGTGGCCACTGTTGGGTGTAACCAAGCAGCTGTAGTCACTCATGGTAGTTAATATATTTCATATTCCCTGTAGAAAATGCTCACTCACCCTCAAATAGCATTAATAGCATATATTCAACACTTGGAATAGTGGAACAGAGGCAAGGAGGGAGGGAGGGAGGGAGAGGAAGGAAGGATTCCTAGACAATCTGAATGGCAAGGGTTTGTTCAAATATGCTGAGCATAGGCAGGAACAATATCCTGCTTTAATATTAGGAAAAAGATTCTCCTCGTAAAATCAGTTTCTTAGCGGAACCCCAAACTAGGCATGCTGTATCTGGGCTGCAAACCTCTGGATGATCACTAGATGGCATCAGAGAGTCACAGGATGTTTTAAAACAGCTGGATTTCTCCTGCAGGTGAATTGTCCCCCAAGTGTCTTTTCTCCCCATCCCAAGTAGACTGAGGACATGGTGTTTCATGGGGCAGCAAACCACACTGCCAGTGTCCATTTTCTAAAAATAGATTAGTAAGGATGGAGTATAGCACATTCTTAGATATATATTCTTATCATCCTTTTAAATTGAGATTCACCATGTCAATTCTTTCTTTCTCAGTCTTCTTCAGAGCATAACAGTTAATATTAGGGACAGTTAATTCTCCATGCAAAACTCATGGAGAAATCTCGCTAGCATAAATGAAAATGTTTCACTTCCCTCAGAAAACTTCCAGAGTTTCACTACTGGAGGAGCTTCCAAACTGTCACTGAATTTCCACTGTAGTAAAAATGTGGCCTCAGCCACTCCTCTCAGGAACTTTCATGAGCTTTACATAAAGGTCTTGGTTTCCCTGGGCCTTCCTTAGCTGTTGCATATGATGGACATTTGCACCGAATTTCATTTTAAATTAAATGTTGGTGGCACATCTAACCTTTGCCTTTCCACTTAAACTGCAGTTTAACTATAAAGAGCTCAAGGTGACTCTGTGGTTAAGGTCAGTAGTTTTACACTTGAAGAGCTCTCAGGAAATGTACACACACTATTACTCAATCGCAGCCCGTTCCACTACAGTCATCTCCAGTCAATCTGCCAAGTCATTAACCACCCATTGCTGTACCACTGAAGCAACTTAATTGCACATTCCTTACTGAGACATTTTGGAACAACTTCTACATCAACAGAAAAACCTCAGAAGTCCATGATCTGACTGCTGGAAAGCCCAAGTTACAAACTAAGAGGCATTTCTTACCTTCTCAGCATGTCCTTTCTTATCCCTCTTGCTTCAGGCCTATTTGTAACTTATTACCAGTACCTATGAGGAAGCAGAAAGGTTTGTTTCTGTAACCTAATGACAAACATTAGGTTACAGAAGTTAACCAGAGTTAACTAGTACATTTGAATTTTTCCTGCAATGCTAGCCTGCCCTTTTGCATCTTTCTGTGAGATGGCAGGGTAATGCAGACACAAATCTGCAGCTACTTAGGAGATGTTTAAAAGAACAGCTACTTTATTTGTCTCCATTTTTGGCCACATTCCTCTTGTATGATTTATCTTCCACGTTCATATCGCCAAACAGGTTGCTTTTGTGCCTCGCATGTGTGTGTATCCCTCTCATCAGCGCAGTTCTGATGAAGAAGATCTAGAGAGGCAAAGTCCACCCTTGGAAGTATCAGATGGAGAGACCGAGGTTGGGGAACCCAATCCTGGTGTTATGAATGGAGAATCAGGTTAGCTACTATATCACAGAAGCTGAATTCTGTATTTTACCCTGACTTTCTCTTCCTTTCTGTTCCGTTGTTGCTGCTCTGACATCACTTCCCTTTCTAACTCTACTACCTTAAAACTGAAATGTCCTGTTCTTTTGATGACTCCCTTCCTGTCTTTATTAAGTTTCCTCGCATGGCTAACTTGTAATAACTCTGTTTTTTTCCTTCAAACCGCTTTTCAAATGCATTTTAAAAAGAAAGAAAATGTTTCACTTAATTCTTTAATCTAGGTTTGTAATGAAAACTAAGGGTTCATCCTCACATTTTGCTTACTGGCAGTGTGAAGACACCTTGGTAACCACTTTTAACGGGCACATCCTCATGATATTGCCTTTATCTCATCTCCCAGCTTGCTGTGGACACGCTCTAAAGTTGTCCTCAGTTGGTCTACTGTTAGTAGTGTTTTACCTCTTCTCCTGAGCCAAGTCTTGCCATGTGTGATGGAATGTGAGGGTGACCTTGGAAGATGTGGGTGGGGGAAGAGACCCACCTAGGGAACAATCAGAGAAAAGAGAAAGGAGTCCACAACAGAGTAATGGCCAGAGAAAGAAATGTAGGAAGGACCCACCTTAATAAATACTCAGGCAGTAAATAGGGAGGGTGGGAGATTTGTACTTTCAGACTTGCAAGATTCTGTTAATGTAGCCTTACAATAAAGTGGAATTAGCTCATCTAATCAAGTTTCCTGTCTGGTTTACCTGGGAGGGCTGACATCATGTGAACAATCTTTCATACCTCGGTGATGAGGCTGGCAATGATGTTCTCAAAGGCAGGGATCTGCTCCACTCCTATTGGCCATTTAAGTCATTGTGAGTATGACCCCTCCCTGTCTAGTTGCTGGGCACTGCCTTCTATGGCCATTTTGGCTTGGACTCTGAGAGAAACCTAATACCGGCTTATGCAGCCTGCAGCCTATGGATAACCTGCAGTTTCCGATCCTGTTTTTCATGGTCCCTGGAGAACCCAACTCCTCACCCCTCTATCACCCTAACAAAATATGGCAGCAAAACTCAGAATTTGGTGGTGAGATTTTGCAGAGATTTGGTAAAATAGCAGCTACAAAATAGGTGTCCCTAGTTTTAACAAACTCAGGACCAAAAGTCCCAAACAATTGATCCTGCCATCTCTGTGGAAATAACTGCATTGTTGCCATATGTGTGATGGCCCTTAGAAGGTGAAAAAAATGGGAATGCTGCAGCCTTGGCTGGAAAAAAGTTACCCGTATGCCATAAACCACAGTTTACAAACCATTTCTAAATTATACACATAATGCTAAGACAATATCAAACCTCATTATGGTTAAGTGCAATGTGTAAACCCAGACATTTATATATTCATTGGTGTTTATGACGTGGCTAGATTAAAGCCTTCGGGACGTCTAGGTGCTGATGTTGCCATACAGGAAAAGAAAATCCAAAGTTGCAAATTACTGTAGGAACGTGGAATGTAAGAAGCACAAACTTGGGAAAGCTCAACACAGCGAAAGATGAAATGAAGCAACTACAAACTGATGTCTTAGGCATCAGTGAATTGAGATGGACTGGGATCAGACACTTCAGTCAGAAGATCCCACCGTTTGTTACTTAGGACATGAAAGACAAAGAAGACTGGAATGGAGTAATTTGCCCACAAAAGGACAGAATCTCTGAGAAAGATATTAAAACAACATAAGGGAAACTACCAAAAGTGCTTTTTGACTTGATGGACACTTTAGAGCTGGTAGATGCATGGAGACATAAAAATGGTGATGCAAAAGAATATCCTTATTTTTCTGAAAGACACAGGTCTTTTTCAAGAATTGATATGTTTTGGATATCTAAGCATTTGGCTACTAATGTTCACAAAGTGGAGATATTGCCAAAGACTTTTTCAGGCCATAATCCAGTGACTTTAGTCCTTAAAAGGAAAACCAGTTCCTTCAGATGAAGGTTAAATAAAATATTGTTGCTGAAGGAAACAGTAATGGAAGACTGTAAAAAGAAGTTAAAAGAATTCTTTGACAATCTTAATAAAAGTACAGATATAAGAATGGTTTGGGACACAAAGCTTTTATGAGGGGACATTTATACATAAATATGTCTAATAGCAAACTCAAAAAAAGAGAGACAAAAGAAAACACAGGCAATTTTAGATCAGATAAAAATGAAAGAATTAAATTACCAAAGAAAATTATTTCACAACAAATTAAACTTTTACAATGGTATATAAGACAAATGGAGGTAAAACTAAATTATGCAAAAGAAAAAAATTGAATTTGCAAATTAACCAGGGAAATGATTGGCATATAAATTGAGGAAAGAAAAAGGAAAAATGATATTAAAACTACAAGATGGAAATATCATAACTGATGATTTAAAGATGCAAAAAATATTTCATCAATATTACTCTAAATTATATACAGTGGGGCAAAAAAGTATTTAGTCAGCCACCAATTGTGCAAGTTCTCCCA